AACAGATACGAGGCCTTAGAAAAGGGCTATTGATGAATAGCATGATTTGGGGGAAAACCCACTGACATATGACCCCTTGACGGGGAAAACCAGCTTTAATAGTCAGGTGCTGTTCATTTGACTCCATGTATGTTTGGTGCAAGTATGCTTTCATAAATTGACAACTACTGAATTTCTAACGTGACTGTTACAGACTCAAAGTCAAAGTCAATATTACGGCTGTTGGAATGTTTGATTTATTCCTGGCTACTGACTTGTTCCTGGATGTAAAAGAGTGGACTTTCATGCTTGCAACCACTGTGTCACTTGTCCATTTGGTAAGTAGAACTTCAATTATTATATTTCAAGATGTGAATTCTATATCAATGAAATATAGGCTTGAACATGAAAAAAGTGCCACTATACCTGATGGAGAATTACTGGCATGTTAGTAGGGGGAATTGTAAGCATTTGCCACATACGTGTTTACTGACACTATTTTCTTGTTTTCTTCTGACAAATACTAACTTTGTCCATTTAGTTACGACAGCCATTTAAAAGTAATCTTCAGTTTTGGTACTGACATAATTTTGTTTCACAGAAGGTATACTTCATACTAGACCTATAGATGATATAGAACCCTAAATGATGTATTAACAGCGATTTGTTTGGCTCTCGAAGAAGTTGGGTGAAGCTATTTTTCACACTTATTCGAGGATGGAGGTAGCCATTTCAATGTACATAGAATTGCCAATTTGGTGAGTGTACAGATCGCACTGTACACACACAGCCGCTACACTATTCACTCGTAATGTATGCGCAGCGATCGCAACCGATTAGAATGGGCATGGTGGATTTGGGAGGGGGAGGAGGAGGTGGGGTGAAGAATCAATGTTTAAGTTTTTCATTGAAAACATACATGACGCACAGTTAGTGAAGAGTTGCCGTGAGCTGGTGCAGAATTATATCCATAGAAAATATGTACTGAGATCATGGGTGTCGATCCCGGGGAGGGGGGGGGGGGGGATGGGGTGAAGAATCAATGTTTAAGTTTTTCATTGAAAACTTACATGACGCTCAGTTAGTGAAGAGTTGCCATGAGCTGGTGCAGAATTATATCCATAGAAAACATGTACTGAGATCATGGGTGTCGATCCCGGGGAGGGGGGGGGGGGTGGGGTGAAGAATCAATGTTTAAGTTTTTCATTGAAAACTTACATGACGCTCAGTTAGTGAAGAGTTGCCATGAGCTGGTGCAGAATTATATCCATAGAAAATATGTACTGAGATCATGGGTGTCGATCCCGGGGAGGGGCGGGGGGGGGATGGGGTGAAGAATCAATGTTTAAGTTTTTCATTGAAAACTTACATGACGCTCAGTTAGTGAAGAGTTGCCGCGAGCTGGTGCAGAATTATATCCATAGAAAATATGTACTGAGATCATCGGTGTCGATCCCGGGGGGGGGGGGGGATGGGGTGAAGAATCAATGTTTAAGTTTTCATTAAAAACTTACATGACGCTCAGTTAGTAAAGAGTTGCCGTGAGAAAATATGTATTATGACGATGACTTTTTGAAGAGTCAATTACCTGTATACGCCACGTTTTCCCTAGAAAATGTACATGACTTGCATGTGGTGATCGGATTGCTTCATTATATATTATGATTCATTATTTCTGTCTAATGACAATTATCTTGGGAAAAGCTGACAGAATGCCTACGTTAATTGTTAGCGATCACTGCGTTGAAGCCTGACGGATACACACCACAAAGAGTAGGCCTAAATTTCTTGTCCAAAGTATAGCGGTTGCATGTGTACAAGGCGATCCGTACACTCATCAAATTTGCAATTGCCAATTCTACACACTTAAAATGCGCTACTTCATCCTCAAATGAGTGTGTTCAACAAAAAAGTTTACCCGAAGATTTGTTTTTCCCTTGCAGTTAGCTAGACGCTTGACAAAGCGACCATATTTTGATTTTGAAATGCAAGACATTTCTACTCTTTGACTTTGGCGAGCATGAGAAAATGAAAGGATGGAGCAAAACTTTGGGAAATCTCTACATAATGTATGTTCAAGGAATCGACATATCTAACATAACAATATGAACAGTGGAATCCTCGTATAAGGAAACGATCACAGTGTACCTTGGAAGATCCATTGCAAATTTTACTGATTCTCATTCGAACATGTCTTCAAACGGATGAGGGGACGTTCTCGGGCTTCATCATGTGCTGGATATCTTAATTTACTTTAATTGGTTCTTGAAGAAGTAAACAAAAATGTCTACACGCATCTAATGGGATTTCTCCAAATCCGCCCAATGCAAAACATTAGAGGTAGCAAAACAAAGAAATTGGTGTTTGGGTCCTCCTTCGAGAAATCTACATACCACATTTAGAATAAAATAAGATTATGAAAAGATGAGGAAGTTATCGTTCAAATAATCATCCTGGACAATAATGTAATGAACGGCATTTCAGTATACAATAGTTTGAACATTGATGGCAGTAACACAAAAATGCTCTAAGATTTTTCTTAACATACGAGTCTACGAATTTTTTGTATAACAATCGAAATTACTCTGAGAAGGATGAGAAGAATGTGAGGGAGGAGAAGAAGGAAAAGAAGGAGAAGGAGAAGGAGAAGGAGAAGAAGAAGGAGAAGAAGAAGGAGAAGGAGAAGGAGAAGAAGAAGAAGGAGAAGGAGAAGAAGAAGGAGAAGGAGAAGAAGAAGGAGAAGGAGAAGAAGGAGAAGAAGAAGGAGAAGGAGAAGGAGAAGGAGAAGAAGAAGGAGAAGGAGAAGAAGAAGGAGAAGGAGAAGAAGAAGGAGAAGGAGAAGAAGGAGAAGAAGAAGGAGAAGGAGAAGGAGAAGGAGAAGAAGAAGGAGAAGGAGAAGAAGAAGGAGAAGAAGAAGGAGAAGGAGAAGAAGGAGAAAAAGAAGGAGAAGGAGAAGGAGAAGGAGAAGAAGAAGAAGGAGAAGGAGAAGAAGAAGGAGAAGGAGAAGGAGAAGGAGAAGAAGGAGAAGGAGAAGAAGAAGTAGAAGGAGAAGGAGAAGAAGAAGAAGAAGGAGAAGGAGAAGAAGAAGTAGAAGGAGAAGGAGAAGGAGAAGAAGAAGAAGGAGAAGGAGAAGAAGAAGGAGAAGGAGAAGGAGAAGAAGAAGAAGAAGTAGAAGGAGCAGGAGAAGAAGAAGAAGAAGTAGAAGGAGAAGAAGAAGTCGAAGAAAAGAAGGATTAGAAGAAGAAGAAGAATTCGAATCATTTGAATCGAGAGTTAATCACGATATCCATATTAAAGGCTATGTTATATTCCTGTGCCTTGAATAGAAATTACAAAATGTTATTCTGTGATTTACTAATCATGTTTATCTTGCAGATCCGACATACTTATTGACACATTAAAGAGAGAGAGGACTCATGGGTACTGGATCACCTAGATCTGTTTCTAGACTTCGCCATAGCGAGTGATCGTAAAAGTTGAAGTGAGTTTTACATCCATGGATTTGCTCGATAAATTCGAATACTCCAATATGAGTGTAAACTCACTTGTTTAGTCGTCCTATTAGGATTCACTTCCTTCAGAGCCCACCCGCCCCTCCCACTCAGTGTTATTTAGGGTACGCATAATGCGTGTTCCTAGCACCAGTAGTGTACGCATGATTTGTTCAAGGGGGGAGGGGGTGGTTTTAACATTTTTAAATCTAAAAAAAAAAATCACAAAGGGGGGAGGGGGTTGCTCCAAAATACACACACAAAACAAACTGAAGGGGGGGGGGGTAAACCCCCTCCCCCTGCGTACGCGCCTGCCTAGCACCCCCCCCTTCAGCATAAGTACGGTGTGTAAAGTCAATATGTGTAGATCTTTTTCATTGTTACGAGCATGAGATTTTGGGAACACGCATGCGGTCCCTTCGTTCCCGGAGTGAAGGGGGCGGGCATCAGAGCTGAATCCACTCTTACGTTGTGGTTGAATGACTCTTTATTAGTGTGGATTACCTTATTTTGAGCATGGATTCCACTTCGATTTAATTGAACCCTAATATGGATCCCTAAAAATGAGAATTTTGGACTAAAATGACAACAAATTATGTCTATATCTCTTATAAGGATAGAAGTGGGGTATATGTATTTAAATATGTTTTTTACCAACATGCTTCATTCATTTAGTTCCTTCTCTCATTTTCCATCTCTATCCATTCCCTCTAACAGCATGATTGCCCTTTCTCTCTGTCGAAGTTATGAAGATTGATTTTATTCGTCATAGGAACATTTACATTATGGAATATGCACAGATACGAGAGAGAGAGAGAGAGAGAGAGAGAGAGGGAGAGAGGGAGGGGGGAGGGAGATAGAAGGAAAAATGTAGGCTACCTTGACATGATAACCTATGAATAGACCAGTTCACGGTTAGCACATTACTGCAATGACCCCGAATATCCACAGATCTTCAAAACATGAAGAGGTCCCACTTTATAAATTTTGAAATAATCTCTCCTACAGCGATGGAGGTCCTGGATAAATAGCCTTTGTTTCCCCTTTGCAAAGAATACTTCCTCCTGTGTTTCATGGAGTGGACTGAATGTGCATGAATGAATAATGATTACATAACTTTCATGAGCACGTATCCAGTATTTCGTCTCCGTGTATTTTAAAATCTGCAATGACCTTTTTCTGCTCATGCTCAGACTGCAACCGCGAACTGGCTTAAAATAAGCTCATTTCTAATTAGTTCCTGATAATGTCTGTAAGTATTAATTGATAAAGTCAAGGGTGTATTATTTGTTTGATAAACATGTAATGCAAAACTAAGATCTCAAAAAATATGTGAAAAAAATATAACTTAAAAATTAATATTAATTTAACGAACATATCTAACATACAAGTATTTGAAGAAATATATAGTGATATAAATGTTTTTTAGCCTACAATAATAACTTAAATATACTTATTTTCTGTTTCATTTCAGCACGTAAGGGCACATACAATCACCTAGCAGGGTTGAGACACATTAACTAAAATCACCTAGGATTATCATCTTCTTGAAGTATTCGATTCCAATCGATTGGTATCCTGATTTGTAGTGCTCAGGCCGATACTACGAATAAATGTGTCCACACAGCTCTGAACTGTTAAAAAAAAGACCCAGTGTGAGTTGTCGAAATATCATACCATTACAGATTGTCAAAAGGGTGTTTTCCTACCTGTTTAATTGGTAAAGTTGTTCTATGTTGGCACTAATGTTTTAAACAATGCAGTATCTCGAGATTATGTTAATGTAATGGCATCATTTGAACTCACGGTTTCTCGTAACCTGCAATGTCCAATTTGTTTAGACCTTCTCAGTGATCCTAAACAGTTATCATGCACACATACGTTCTGTAAAAAATGTCTTAGTGATATTCTAGCATGTTCATCAAAAGACGAGGAAAACACATTAATATGTCCAATATGTCGTGGCACAACGCATGTAAGGGATGGCAATATTGTAAATCTAAATACAAACGTTCCTCTTATGTCCCTTGTTGATGACGTCAGGAACAGTCAACAGCTCTGTGAAATGTGCGATACGCAATCAAGAGCTGTACACTTCTGCTGCGACTGCGGTAAGAATATGTGTAACGCATGTCTTGAGCTGCACGGCAAATGGCCACCTCATCTCAAACACAAAGTAGTGGGTGTCGAAGACATCAGAGAGGGCAAGGTGGTCCTAAAGAAGAAGGTCTACTGTCAAGAAGAAGTACACGAATCAGATGACGAAAAATATGTATGTAAAGATGTATGCACTACTTGTAAGAAGCTTATATGTATGAGATGCATATTCTACCACGATAAGAAAGGCCACACAGTTCAAGATGCGGGGGAGTACAATACTTCCTTTAAGAAGAACATTGAATCCCTACAGGCTCTGGGTAAGACCAAAGCGACAACCGTCAAGAATCACATGACATGTGTTGATAATCAGCTGAAGCGTGTCACTGATCACATCGATGGAGAAAATGCTAAAATGAACAAGATATGCGAAGAGGCTATCAACAAAATAAAAGAGAGGAATGCGATCATGAACAAGCAATTCAATGCACAGAAAGAGAAGTTATGTCAAATTTTGAAAAACATGAAAGTTGCTGATGAGAGGTTGGTTACGAGTATTGAGAGTGCGAGTGAATTGGCGAGTAATAGTTTGAAAGCCCCACTAGAAGGGGACGCTGTTGCCATTCGTGATTCACTGTCTGGTGAATTGAAGAATGTACTACATCAAAATGATCCCAAGAAGAAGCTTGCTAGTGATGTAGCTGATCGTGCAGAGGAACTGACGTTTACACCAATCAGCCATCCTGATCAATTATCCATGGGTGAACTCCGGTTCGTAAAATGCGAGTCGAAATGCAATGTTACACTATCAAAGAAAGGTAGTATGGATGTCATGGCTGCTATGAAAAACGGTAAGATGGCTGTTGGATTTTGCAAAGGAGGGATCGAAATCTTCTCTGAGGTTGGGGAATTGCAGCAGACGGTGCTCAAGGATATTAGTATCCGTGGGTTAGGATTCCTCTCTGATAGTCGGTATGTTGTACGAAATACAGTTAATAACATATCATTGTACACATCAGAGTATGAGAAGCTTGATGTTTCATTCAACACTCTAGATGACAGTGTCGGTGGACATGGTGGTCTCACTGTAGACAGTAATGATCTGATCTATGTCAGCTACAGGAGAGCCAAGAAGATCCAGGTATTCTCACCAGCAGGCGGGAAGGCGATCAGGGAGATTCAATGTAATGCATATGAGCCAAGCCAAATCACAAGTTATCGTGATTCATTGATCGTTCAACGGAATGGCAAAACGACAATCCGTATCGATAAACAGGGTGATGTTACGCATAGAGTAGTCAGTTCGAGTGGTCATATCCTCTTTGCTAGTGTGACTAAAGGTAATTTAGTTCTGATTGCCTCTGTTAGACACGCAGAAGGGCTGCTCAATATCGATGAGTACACCAATGACCTGAATCACGTCAAGAATGTCATCTCTGATTACAAGATTAAAAAGTCTGAGAGAATTTGGTACTACTTTCAGCAGTTCCAATCAGGAGAGCTAGGCTTCTGTACATCGGAGAGGCTCTACATATTTAACCTATCCACCACTCCAGTTAACCAGTGATTATCATGTTCAGTAGAGTTTCAGAGCCAAACAGATGCCACTGGACGTGTATTGTAATAAACTGAGATGTTATTTAACGGAACGAACGCAGTGTTAGGGATATCGTACGCATTTTAATTCCGGAGCTATGATAGCTTCAGAATTCCTCTTCAACAAAATTAATCAGAACGTATCACAACACTTTAATTCAATAACCTCACTGCACAAAATAAAATCATTCAAAGTGAAACACCAGCATAAGTTATTATTCTCTCTTTCTACATAGCGTGGATTTAGAAACTGCCACTATGGACCGGGGGGGGGGGCAACGCATCAGTTTTTGCAAGATAAATTTTTCTTCGATTGCCCCCTCACCCGTAGTTATGCCACTGTTTTTTGTGTTATTATGTAGCATTTTATTTGATTTTGTTAGCTTACTAAGCTATCCTGACCCCATACCGGATAATAGGCACCACTGTACAATTCAATATTTTATTGTTTTACTCTACACGATTGAAATATAGTATAAACACATTTGTGGCTTACACCCAGTAAATAAGATCGATTGATCGATCTTATTTACTGGGAGTAAGCCACAAATATGTTTATACTATTGAAATTTCTCCCAGGATGCATTATATTTAAAAAACGATTAAAATAGCAAACAAAATATCATATTAATTCTTATCGACATCATGACGAGATTTACAAGATTATTTTGGATGAAGTATAAATTCAAAGTACCATCATTGGGTCTATAATATAACGCTGTTCAATTCCAAAACAACTTTTTCAATATAGAAGTATGTTATTTGTGTGTGTTACCACTGTGCAAGAAATGGGATGGGTTGATATGCATCCTTTGTAAGTGATACCAAAACAATGTAATTTCGAAATGAATGAAAGACTGCCAAAATAGGAAATTCCTATTGAATAATTGCATTGAATTCTTAAGAATTTCTTTATTTTTGTAAGATTGACTTTAACAATGTTAAGCGGATACAATTAAAAAAATGACGCATGTTCAAGATGATCTATATCTTTCATAACTTTGTTTTAGACCAATTTTCATATTTTGTTTTGGTTCGACAAGGGATATCTTGAAAATTACTGATAGAACTTTATCTTTGTAGCTAACGTTTTTTTTTTAAAGAGTCAGTCAATTACCTCCCATATCCTACATATACTTTGTGTACGTACATTCTAAAATATTTGACTGTACTTGAATATCGGTGTATGTTTTATTGTAAGTATGATATTACATAGGTGAATATATAGGACCTGCATATAATCAGATGGTAATATTTTCTAGTGTGAAAATAAGTGTCTGTAAGCGTTTGTGTTATTTTGTATTCGTAGTACTTGTTAAAAAAATAGAAAAGAGGAGAACGAGCAGAAAATATTATTTAAATGATTGTGAAATTACTTTTTGAATTATTCAAGTAATGAATACCAGACTGAAAATGTTGATATATCTTTACATATGAACAAACTACATACAAATAAAGGGTGTAGTTTTTTCATCATTCCTCCATGAAAAATGAATTTCCTAGGGATTATATGAAGATGATGTCTGAAAAAGCCTATCTTATCATAACAATGTAGGGATATTTCGAACCGTGAATCTCAAATGTACACTAATTACTTACTTCTTGCAATTAAATACTGCTGACAATGCGAACCTGTACAAAAGTTTGATTTGTTTTCTTCAGTTGATTTGTTGATGCGTACCCTTCGCTTTGATTCTACTGTTTGGTTTGATATGTTTTATTTTGGAATCTGATTATCTGTAATGTTGTTGTTTTATCATTGAAAAGAGCATTCATCCATCAAGTGAATCATGAAGTTCACTGATAAGAACAATTTTAAAATATAGTCATCGTTCAATCATATTTTCGGGTTTTTACAAAAGTAAGCAAGTTGTTAAAAAAACGAGGAACATTTGATAGCATGCTAAACTATTTTAATCTTTTCAACTCTCTTGATTTTGGGATTGAATTTATTCATTTATTTCAATATCATTTTTTATCATCGGAAAGCGGTAAATGTGCCGATGATTTAAATGACGAAATAAATATGACAATTTTTTGTTTCATGTTTTACTCAGAAACGAGATCCTAAATTGAATTGCGTAAAGCTGTAAGTAGTCGTACGAGCTGGCATATTACTATGCTAGTGAACGTAGCAACCTGGCAGCCTAAAAAAAAAATGAAAAAACTTTTTGAACTAATGGATTTGTCATTGAATTACAAATAGCGAGCTTCTTCTATCTGAGCAAACTTGTGTTTTCATGTTCCTAATATTAATGGTTAGTGTATACGCTTCTGTTTGTAGTAAGATAACGATTGTATCATCTAAGGCGTAGACAACTTAAAGGTGAAATATTTATTGATTGACTGATTACTGACAAAATGGTATGTTTCTTTCAATACCTGTTTTCATGTTTGTAAATTATTATACTCAGATATTAAATTACAATTATCAATAAATTACCATACTCTATATGAAATTCGTGGACTGAGAATTGATGACTGGAAGGGAAAATAGGAATGTTATAATTATTTTAATGCTGCTGGTGTTACTGGTGATGATGAAGATAATGACGATGGTGATGATGATGTTGATGATAACGGTAAAGATGGTGGTGATTGTGGTTATGGCGATCGTAATGCAAGTGATGATGCTGCTGCTGCCGATGGTGGTGATAATGATGGGGATAATAATGATGATGATGGTGGTGATGATGATGATGCTGATGCTGCTGCTGATGATAATAATAATGGCGATGGTGATGATTATGGAGATGATGATGGTGATGATTGAGATTGAATCGAATTGATTTGTATTTATTTTCTTCTGCAACTAACAAATACATTTCATTTCAGCAATACAACATAATACAAAATATAACCATCTTTTTGAACGTGTACAAATTTTAATATCAATAATAATAAATTATGACATTAAAAAACAAAATGTTTATGAAAATACAATAACAAGAATGATGCATTGCACAATCTGAAGATGAAGGACTACAACAGTAACAGCTTGCTTGATAGCAAGATACACCGGAGCCGGGAGAGGGGGAGGGGTGTAGATGATTCAACAAAAAGGTGGTAATGGGAATGATGATAATTGTTCTGAAAATGAAGATACAAATATGCTGATGTAAATATATCTGACACAAAAGTATATTAAGTATATGGAATTTATAATAAAGAGTGATAGATTTTTAAATAAATCATGAAATAATATCAAATATTAATTCAGTACTGGGATGGGATCGAACAATGTACATGTACTCTGACAAAAGTACCTTATTCGTATTGAATTTAAATGAATTTAGGGTTTTACATGATTCGATTGATTCTGGGAGTACCTTTCACAAATCTGGAACATGATGTTTTATTGATATATGCATGATCAATAAAAGAAATATGAATACTTTTATGTCAACGAGTAGTAGTGGAAGCATATGACCTATGATAAAGAGATTACATCCTGATATTATCCTTCACTATCAATTATAAATCTAGCAGAGAATTACACATTGCAATGCCGAGAAGCCCTAAAAATATCATGGCATTTCTACTTCATAAAAGCCAACGCATACATAACATTAATTTACTACTTGAGTTAGACAGTACAAAGTTGGGAATTGGAGGTAAATAATTCGGGATACACCAACGACACACATATCAATAGCGCTTTACAGATCTAAATACCAAACGGGGTTTTCACTAAAGCATGCTATTAATCCATAGTCTTTTTCTAAGGCCTCGGACCCAATGTCTGTAAAGAGGTGCAGCGCCATCTTTTGGGGGAAAACATACAATGAGAGACAAAACTAATCTCGAAGGCTTGAATGTATAGGCAGCGCCAGAGAAAAACACAGAAGATATCATATTCAGACTTTAAACAAACCCACTGTCTGGAAGAGTAGTTTCTTGAGAGTCATAGTAAGATACTTAAACAAATGTTTGATTTGCGGTCAGGGACTATTAAAGCAAATACTCCCTGACTACAAAAAAGTATCGTATTTTATTGTTTTGTATAATATTATGTTACATTCTATAGTATTGTAGTGCTTTATAATGTTTTGTAATGATGTTTCGAGTTCATAAAGTAACAACAAAAACGTACAATATAGTCAAGTAAACATAATAATGATAATAAAAATCATGATATAGTGAAGGCTTGCTAACTCAATCGGCCAACATAACAAAACTTGGGGTCCAGTTAAAAGAATTGACCAGTGAACTTGACGATATAAAACAGATTTACATTTGAAAAGAATAATAATATGCTATCTACATTTTCTCTTGGGTATACTTTTGAAAACAACAATTGTGAATGTGCATGCTATTGACAAGAAAGTCACCTTGAGAGACGAGTAATATTTTAGAATATAATTGTTACTATCATCATGACTATCACAATCAATATCTGAATATCATCACAATCATTATCATCATCATCGTCATCATCGTTGACGTGACCATCACAAACATCAACATGGCAAACGTTAATACTTTCATTACCATCATCGTTATTTTCATTATAAGCATTATCATCATCATCATCATCGTCATCATTATGAACTTCCATTATCATCGTCATTATTATTACCATCACATCGTCGTAATTATTATCATCATTATGATCATTATTTTCATCATCGTCTTCGTTGTTGTCGTTGTCGTCGTGACCACCACGCTCATCAAAATGACTTTCATCATCATCATCATTATTAATAGCATCATTATCATCATTATTATCATCATCATCGTCATAATTATAACCCTTTAAACTATCACTACGATCATCATAATCATCATTATCATTACCATTACCACCATTATCAAAGTAATCATCATAGTCATCATCATCATCATCAGTAGCATCATCTTCACTATCATTTAGTGAGCATTACATTTTTTTCTCACTTTGCCCTCTGAAATATGAAAAAAGTGTTGACCAATATTTCGGGGGAGGGGGGGGGGGGGGTAAAAAGCACTACA